GTTACATTATTTCAACAAAAACTTCGACGAAATCAAAAGAAAGCTTCATCATTAACATTAGTTCAATAAAATTGCAATTCGTGTTCACATGCAAAATTTTCAATAAAAATGAATGCAATTTTTTTGATTTTTTTTCAAATTAAATTATTTATTGTTAATTAGAATTTCTTCACAGTATTTTTAGATTTAAACTATTGTCTTAGTTATTATATGTGTGCTTTCATTCTCAATAAATAACTTAAAACTGAATGAGGATTTTTTTGTTAATTATTGAATATGAGATATATTTGTAAGCTAAAGATTAATCCTTTACACGTCACGACAGTGGTTTCAAAAGTGCTACGGATAGACTTGGTGTCTGTAATGTGCCAAAAGTATAGACATATTCTTTCATTCTTCGGTAAATTATTGAAGGGAAGTACGGCGAATGCATTGAAAAAATCCTCGTAGGCTTTCGGTGAATCTGATGTAGTTCAATGAAAAAATGTTGTAGAGAGCTCGAGAGCGTCTGATTTTGTAAAAAAATTGGTTGCTCTATTTTTCTGTATTTTATCAAAATCATGAATTATATAAGTCATATATGTCAAAGCGGCCGTTTCTATTAATCAATAGCTCATGTAGTTTACTACAAAAAGTGTTCTTAGAGTTTTTCAGTTCCATATTTTCTCGATGCCCACTCCTGTGGGCGGTGGGAATTAAAGGTTTAATCTGTATTGATTTAAAATCAAATTAAAGGGAAAATAGGAGTTTTTAATAAGTAGCGTTTTGCCGCTCTCTTTATCATTATACATGTAGTAAGAAAGTTGGAAGTTACCGATAGATCGTTCTTCCTTTTGTTTTTTCTCTTTTGTTCTTCTCAAACCAGAAACGCACATCAATTATTAAACAATATCTTCATTTCTCAATTTATATGAGAGATTTATGTGACGGTTTCTTTCTTTTTCTCTCCCTTTTGATCTTTTCTTATAAACAAATTAGGAGGTTTTGACTCTATGACTTCTTCCCTCACTCTCACCTCACAGCCTTGTTCGAAACTAACATACTGCTATAACTGAAGGATAGAATTTATTCTTATTTGAATATCATATTTATTCATAAGAGTCAGGAATATAAAGACAATAGTAAACAAACACGTATAAAATAGTTGTAAAAAATCAAATTAATCTCCAATTTTCTTCAAATTTTCGTCATAAGTTCCGCTTCGACTCGCGCTTCTACCTCCACCTTCAGCCCACTTCTTATTTCCAGCTTTCCAGACACCACCATTATGTCCGTCCTTATCGTAGGTAATATATTGCATATTCTCTGGTTGCTTTGGATTGTGATAAACACTTCTACCGTGAAGGCGAATTTTGGTTTTTTTATATCCCTGTGCGTCGATCAATTTTACAGCTTCGTCTTCTGTCGTACGTGAACGTGACGGTCTATCAGCCATTATTGAATCTCTCTATTAATGGTAAGGTTTTAGATCTAGAAAACCGAGAAAACGAGTGAGGGATTTAAAGAGAGACATAAGAAATAGTTGAAGGGACAAGGGACAGACTTTTGGTTTGAATTCAAGATCATTTTACGAAACAAATAAGTGATAAAATTTACAACAAAAGAAACGAAAGAAAGGAAACGAGTTGTCAAAGATATACATCCCTAACAGCTATACTCTTGCTTATTGTCGTTTTTTACACCGCTGTCGCTGTAAAAAGGATAACAGATTTCTGTCTGCTTGCAAGTTTAGCTTTGTTTTTTTGAAAACGTTTTATTGAATATTTACGTTTAACATTAATAGCAAGGAAAAAACTGTCAGGTAGAAAAAATTCTTTTAATCAGAGACAAAAATTGTGGGTGTGGGTGTCAATGAAATAGAAGACGATGCACCCACACCGTGTAT